GAAACAGTTTGTTCTTCACGAACAACTCATATTCAGCTCGTTAAATAGCTCTTGTTTAATTCGTTTGCTAAGCAAACGAGCCGAACACGGACGTAAATTTGGTTGTTCATGTTCGGCTTGTTTTGGCTGGAAATAATTAAATTAAATTGTGTATTATTAGTATTTTTAATTAATTTAATTGAATGCATGGGTACAAAAATTTATAATCAATTAAAATTATTAATTAAAAAAATAGGATAAAAAATTATTAAATTCAACAAATATTTTAATGTAAATAATAAGTTTTAAATCTCACTCTATTCTTAACTTACTATGATTGTGTAACTTGTGATGTCAAAACCAATCATTTTTCACAAACCGTTCGTGTTCGGCTTGTTAAGAAAACGAGCCCAACACAAAAAACAACAGTTTTTTAACGAATCAAACATGCACGAGCCTAGTCTGAGCTCGCTCAAAATCTTTTGTTTACACCCTTAATCATAATCAGAGGACAAATTTTATTTAAAAATTTCAAAATTAGAACTCGATTAATAACGCTTTTTCAAAATAAATATTTTGATATTAATAAAAATATATTTTTTTATTTACATATATTAAATACTTGCAATCATTAATGTTCAGAATCAATAACGTTGGTTGACCGGGGGCCCACTGATTTTGCTGATGCAAGATGTCATAAATGCGGCCATTTTAAAAGTTCTGACATAAATTTGTGATGAATTTAAAGCTTACCCCTTTAATTAGTCTCCGTTTAGCTCCATCATCAATCAACCAATTCGAAATATACCACCATTGTTGCCATAAGAAAAAACTAATTATTCACAAATAATTAATAATCATTTCACTAAATAACTCGTATTTGATAAAACAGATGAGACTAAGAGTTTATTTGGGACAGCTTAATTGATGCGACGTCATTTTGAAAACACATCTAAACTGTTTAGATAAATTATGTTTTGGCAACTTATGCGTTTTGAAAATACTGAAAACAAAATTTTCACAACACACCTATCTAGATGAGGTGGTGGCAGCTTTCTGGCAGCGATCTGACTTTTATAAAAAAATTAAAATTTCTAATTGTCACCGCACCTATCTTATCAACAAATTATTTTTAATCAGTTTATCAGCATATTATTCAACTGCGCCAAACAGACACATTTTTAAACCTTCATTTGATATTATCTGACTCATTTTTATTTGAAATAAACTATATATATATATATAAATTTTATCCTGATGGGTACTCTTCTGCTTTTTATGTTAAGTGTTGGGATATCATTAAACAAGAAGTGGTTAATGCTATTCAAAGTTTTTTTTCTGGGAGAAGACCCTGGTAATTACTTCTGCTCTACTTCTATTGTTCTCATTCCTAAAGGGCATGACAAAATTACTTGGGATAATTTCCGACCTATTTCACTCACTACCGTTATCTCTAAGGTTTTGAGTAAAATTATTGTCACAAGGCTGCACCCTTTTCTTGGGAAAATTATATCTCCTCAACAATCGGCTTTTATAAAAGGTAGAAACATTACTGATAATATCTTGCTTGCCCAAGAATTGATTGAAGATCTTGACAAAAAAATGCAGAGGTGGGAACATGGCCTTTAAACTTGACATAAGAAAAGCCTTTGACACCATAAATTGGGACTTTATTCTAAATATCCTTAAAGCTAAGGGCTTTAAAGAGGATTTTTGCTTACTTATTAAGAGATGGTTAGCCAATAACCACTACAGCATTCTTATTAATGGTAAATCTTTTGGTTTCTTCTCCGCTGCTAGAGGAATTAAGCAGGGAGACCCCATCTCCCCTACCATCTTTATTATTGCTTTTGATTACCTCTCGAGACTCATAAACAGGTTGCATCAGACTCATCCTCACTTTCAATACTCTCATAAATCGAAAATTGTTATTAGTCATCTGGCTTATGCAGATGATGTCATCTTGTTTTCCAATGCTAGTAAGCCTACCATCAAAGCTATGATGAATTTGCTCAAAGATTTTCAGGATGCCTCTGGCCTACTCTTTAACCTGGATAAGTGTTCCATTTATTTTGGCAG